ATTAATTAATTAATTAATTAATTAATTAATTAATTAATTAATTAATTAATTAATTAATTAATTAATTAATTAATTAATTAATTAATTAATTAATTAATTAATTAATTAATCAATTAATTAATTAATTAATTATTTAATTAATAATTAATTAATTTATTTATTAATCATCAAATTAATCATTCAATCATCCAATCATCGACATCGAGCAGACGCGTCAAGACGTTGTCTGTACATGTCATCTGTTTTAGTGAAAAATTCTACTTGAATTGAAAACATTTTTATACAATTTGTTCATTTATTTAATCAAATATGATTCGCGCAAGCTTGATTGCACTATTTTCAACCCTAATGTTATGTGGATTTTGTGCAAAGGAATTTGTTTCATTGGGTCGTCATGCGTGACGTTGTAAAGATAGAATCGATTTAAACCAACAGTCCAAGGAAAATGTAGTCCCTGCTATTGAAATTCGCTCTCAAGAATGTTTACCACCAAGTTCGTATAAAGCTCTCAAATGCTGTTGTGGTAAAGTGTGTAAAGGCGCTCGGGGGTTAAAAATGCATCAGCGTAGTTGCAGAGTAATTGATGGCATAGAGGAGGAATTACAACAACAAATGACAGACGCTTTAAATGACCAAGTATGCGAGGACAGCGTTAAATCAGTAGAGGACGTAATATCGTGTTTAAATTCTCAAGAAAGCTACCCTGATTTGAAGAAAGGAATAAAACTGCCTAAATCTCCTATACCGTGGTCAAATGCTAACGACTTTTTTCAATTCACTCTTTCAAACCAGACAATTACAACGCAAGAAATCAGTAAATGCATCAATACCATGACAACAGTAATATACAATTACTTCAGTGAAAATTATGGGTTTGTTGATATCAACAATAATAAAGTATTTGAGTCGAAATATAAATCAGCTTCAGCTAAAGATCTAAAAAAAGTCTTAAAAAAATTAAAGTCGGACAATGGCAATCTAATGGAAATCAAATTTGTTGCTAAAAAATTGCGTAATAGTCTACGTAGAGCTGACACTGACCAACAACATGCTGATATCAACGCGTCAGATGAAATTGATCACAATGAGTTAATCAATAAAAACTTTTGGGGTTATGTTAAAAACATTTTCACGAAAAAGTCAGATTCACTACCAACATTTCATCTCGCACAATGCACAGCATATTTTACAAGAATATTTTCCGCAGTTATTCCAAATAAAATTTTCAACATTCCCAGTTGGATTCCTAAATTTAGTTCCCCGACAACACCATTTAATCTTGACCCTCCCACCTATAATGAGATTAAATGGTGTTGTCGGAAGATGAAACCGTCTGGTTCTCCGTGTCCTCTTGACCAAATATCTGTGATATGTCTGAAACGCTGCCCATATTTGAGAACTTATTTAACAGAAATTATCCAAGCTGCCTGCTCCTCTGGTTCTGTTGCATCAGAATAGAAAAAAGCGTGTACGATATTGATCCACAAAAAAGAAGAAACTGACAATCCCAACCTCGTTCCCAGGGCTTTTCCCTTTTTGTCATTGGGAAGGCGGGAAAAGGCCCTGGCACCGGCCGGTCTTCTATGTATTCTGATTGGTCAATGACAAGTACATTATTATGCAAATAATGCAATCTGGGATTAATTTATTCAAACTTTGGGATAAATTAACATTTTCACGCAAGGAGTGTAGAAATATTTTTGGCAAAATCTGTGGCAAAATGCTTAAATTCGATATGATTTATACACAATTTGTCGAAAGTTGGTATTATTGTTTGTTTTAAACTGTGAGAGAAGATTAATTGTGTACTAGAACACACCTCTGAGGCTCTGACCGAGTATTTTAATAGGGCAAAATGTGCCTTCATTGAATCATTGGCTTCGTATAGCGTTAATGTTTATATTTATAAAACTAAAGTCTGGGTTTATAAACTGAAACATGACCTTTAGTTTTTGATAATCTTCATAGTCGAGTTTAAATTGGCCTAATTTATAGTTACCACTAGAAATGCGACGATATTTTGTTATATCATATATGCAACAGTGTTTACAACTTTTAAATATGTGATTTGGTTTTGTTTCAGATACTATTACATGTTGCTTCATTTTACCATAAATTGTAAAAAAGTGATTTGCTCATTTGGCTGATGTTACAGTTTTCTGATGTGTTTTGTTTGGATGATATTAGAACAATTTCAATATGAAAGTGCAGGTG